AAAAAAAAATAATTGTAAGTTTAAAATAATAAAATTCAAATTTAATATTAAAATAATTTTGTAAAATAAAAATCAACTTAATAGTCGGTGATTAACCTAATTATGAATTAACAAATATATCAAATATTACCATATTATAATTTTGTACATAAAATATATTTAAAAAAAAAACTATACATATATATTTTTAAATAATAATAATAATAAAATTAAACATAAAAAATAAAATTTGATCTATTGATTGATATTGATCATAATTTCTACTAACCTACTATCAAAGATATTGAAGTGATACGATTGACCATCCTGGAAAAGTATCCTAATAGAAAAATTCGATTGTTCAGGAGCACTCACTGCACGTTGCCGGTCCTAAACGACGACTGTCGAAGAAACGTGGACGGGTTTGCCGGTTTTCTTTCCTTCGAGTTGCTGTTATACACCAATGACGACGAAAGAGAATATTGACGTGATCCAAACGTATCATATATTATGTCACGGGCAGGTAGATAGTATATGTGATACACTAACACCATTATCAGCTTTTGCGACTTATCAATTTAAAAAAAAAAAAAAATTAAAATTAAAATTAAAATTAAAATTAAAATGTTAACTATTGTTCATTTCTTTTTTCACTTTCTTTTTTTTTTCTTTTTATACTCGATTAATTCGTCCCATCTTTTTTTTATACATACGCAAGATATTTTTACCTCACTTTTATTTTATTTTATTTTTTTTTTATTATTACTCTTTATTATTCATAGATGATTTATTTTATTGTTTTCTTTGTTTTTTGAATTATAATTAAAATTCGAGAAATGAAAAACTCAACTTTCTTTCGTTTAGTTTTCTCTTTTTCTTTTTTTTTTTTTCAAATTAAATCTCCGATTAGTTTGAAAACATTCAAATATTTCATCCGTTCGCGCCAAAAAATATTTGACCACGAGATCAATGTGATAGTTGAGCAAAGTTTTTTTGTTTGTTTGTTTTTTTTTTTTCTACTCATGTTAGTTCTTTTTTCTTTTTTTTTTAAATGACATTTCATAAATGTCAGATTAATGATGGAATTATTTTATTGTTCGATGTCACAAATGAAATACTCGCTTTTTATTTATTTCTTATCTTTAGATATTGTTATATAATATTCTACATAGATTTTATAGATTTTAATCATTAAGATATCATCATCAAAGCCAAGAGAAGCACATGAACAAAATGTTTTAGTGATTTTTAATCAAGAAAAAAAAAAAAAAAAAGAAAAAAAGAAAAAAAAGAAAAATAAATTCTTAACACAGAAAAGAAACGTTCTCGGGTTATTAATTGATAGGATACTTTTCAATGCAAATCTAGACAATAATCCTTCGTGCAAATAGATCATTTCTTTTGATGTTTGTTTAAGGGCGCGGTTCTTTACAATTAGGCTCATTGACCTGACAGAATTAGGAATGGATCGATGAGTTAGTTTTTCATCTGTAGCATTTTAATTGCTCGTCGCACCTTTTAATGAATCCTAATTGATTTACTTATGTGAAAGTGAATATTCTAAAATATACATTAACAATTGTATATATACAGGTGTAAGAAAGAAAAAAAAAAAATTATCTGGCAATATTATAAATCTTGTTTTTTGCATGTAATTTAATTGATTTCACATCCTGATGTATAAATATATATATATAGATAAAAAAAAAAAAAAAAAAAAAAAAAAAAAAAAAGAAAAGAAAGTAACTAATTATATGCACTGATAATAAATGTCACGCTCTAAAAGACTTCATCAAAACATATTTTTGTCAAAGAAAAAAACATATGTTACCACGTATAACATATGTAATTAAGCGCAAACATTTTTAATTTGTAGATTTTAATTTTTTCTTTTTTTTTTTTCTTCCTTTTTCTGCACAGTAGAGTTAAGTCGGTAAGAATGGAAATCTTTTTATCGACGTACAATTAAAGAATGCGATTTTATCGACGTACAATTAAAGAATGCGATCTTATCGACTGTCGATAATACCTGTCCCTTTATAATTCATAGAAAAAGATAAATCATATTGATTAGAAATTTGCTTATCATATATGGGTATATGATTAGATAACAAATTTAAATGATAGATGGCACTTTTTTTTATTAAATTTCCTTTTGATTATTTCACACGTTGTGTGGTATAACCTAAACACGAGTTAAATCTTTTTTTGTTTAAATGCTAAAAGTATTCTTTCAAAAGTTTCATACAATTTATATACGTAATTAACTTATTTATCAAATATATATATATATATATATATATGCAATATATTATTTAAAAAGAGTGTTCATCAATTTGTCGCGTTTACACGATTAACGCATAATGATACTTTGAAAATATAACTCTTGTCATTGGTTTATATGCGTTATTATATAAATTAATATTAAAAACGTATCTTACAATGTTGTCATTGCATTTAAATATATTCAATGCGACAATTAGAACATTTCCGTATTGGAGATTAAGTTCATTTTTAAGTACAAGTGTAATAAGTCCAGAACACAGTAACTTAAATAAGGTAAACCTTGTAATACGTTTGTGCTTGTTATGTGTAATACCAAATAATGAAATTTTATTCAATTAAATGTGTATCCATATATATATGTATTTATATAAAAATAATTTTCTTTTGTAGCACGAAGAAAGTGTCATTCAAAATGATAACAAATATTCCAAGAAAGAAAAATTATTACAAGAACAAACAAATGTATCACAGATATCATCATCATCATCATCATCATCATTATCATCATCATCATCATCGGACAAATTGCAAACTAATACTTTTATGTCTTTAGATGATAAAATAGTTAAGACTAAAAATACTAAAGATTTGATTGGTATTATGAACGATCCAAATATAACAATTGATCAAGTTAAACAAATTTTAAGTCAAATTTCTAATTTAAAGCCCAACGTAGAAAAACGAACAACAGTTTCAGAATCCAAAATAACTCAAAATGAATCCACAAAATTGGATAGTAACATTGGATTATTACCATTGTCAACACCCAAAATAATTCAGGTTTGTCCAATATAATTGTTAAAATTGTAATCTTTCATTGTTTCTTATTCAATTTTCATTCGTTATTTTATAGATACTCAAAAAGTTATCATACACCAGTGATAGAAATATACCACTGTTAAAAACATTAACTTATAATATCAGTATGTACGGCAAAAAATTAAATACAAGAATGTGTGGTGATATTTTGTACAGTTTGGCTGTTTTAAATTATCCAGATGAGGTAATCAACTTAAATTGCATGTAATTTTATCGAATAATAATATAAATGATTTATTTATTTCTAGATATTATTGGAGAAAATAATGTCTACATTACTCAATGAATTACCTGATAATGATAAAGGACCTACTATGGGTTCAATAGCAATGTCTTTAAAATTACTTAAGTATAAAAATCGTGATGTATTAGATGCCATTTTATTATGGGCTAATAATAATCTAGAAAAATTAAGGTTTCAAGATGTTACTTCGATTATAGGATGTTTAGCTTCGTTTGGTTATATTCCTAAAACTATGAATAATCTTCAGGTATTACATCAACTATATTCATATGTCATATATATATATGACATATGTCTGTCATATGATTATAGTCATATGACATATATATATATATATATATATATATTATTTGTTTGTAAATACAGGAATATATAAATTCATTAACTCCTGATGTTACATCAAATTATCACTTGTGGCTAGACTTTGTATGGTCTTTGACAGTTTTAAACAGAGTGTCTACGAACCACGTTTCATCTGTATTATATAGTACATTTACTGACAAAATGTTATGTAAGTATATTTAAACATTTGAGTCGTTAGATAACTTATCAATTTCATATTACAATTCTATAATATGCTATTACTTTTCAACAAGAAATTTTAACAGTGCAAACTTACTGCTTAAAATTCAGATGATTAAACAAATTCAAGTAATTATAAATGAATATGTAAAATTGATCAATTATTGTTATTTTCTAGATAAAGATAATCTCAAGAATAAAATAAATACGATCAAGTTATTGAACATCAATGCTGCTGCACGTTTTATTATGGACAATTATGATGGTAGATAATTTTTTGTTAAATATTCATTTATAAACATTATTATTATTATTATTATTTTTAATTATATTTCATTTGCAGGTCCCTATATTAAAAACAAAGAATTATTTTCCTTAGTCGCTGATACCAGAAGACAAAAAGTAGAACTCATTGAAGCTTTGAAAGAGGCATTGGAACAAATCAATCCTCTTTGTTTCGAAACAAATATTAAAACAAAGATGGGTTTTACCATAGGTAAATATTTCATACAAATTTAAATATATATATATATATATATAAAGTTATTTTATATTATATTTCGTTAATTTTGTTGTTGTTGTTTTGTTTTTTTAGATGTAGAAAGTTGCCTGGATGAAAATAACAAATTGGTAAAACGTGTTGAAAATGATTCAAAGAATATGAGGTGATTATTCTAAATGATAATTATAATTCATGATTATGTTTATATATAAAAGAGAATTCATTTTAATAAGAATAATAATTGTGTGCAGGTTAGCAATAATGGTACATGACTATCATGATTATTCTCGAGGAATGGAAGAATTATTAGGAATACCTCAATTTTATAATAAATTATTAACCACTCAAGGTTATAAATTATTAAATATTTCTTATCAAAACTTCAGCGTAAATGATATACTTGCTAAACGTGTTAAGTATTTACGAGATAAGATTGATTCGTTACAAACGACGTCTTCTTCTTCTTCTTCTTCTTCTTCTTCTTCTTCTTCTTCGATGTAATTACATAAAGTGTAACTATGATAACTAATGAAAATAAATTAAATAGCTTATTTATTGTGTTACTTTCAATAATCGTTAATTTATCATTTTCATTATTGTATTGTAAAAAATATAAATGGAAAAAAGAAAAAAGAAAAAAAACGACCACAAAAATATAATTAATTAAATATCTTTTAACATAAATGTAAATTTATATAATTATACATTATATAACATTTTTATTGCGGCGATTGGACAATAACAAATATTTTTCTAAAATTTATACAATACGACTAATAAAATGAACACAAATGTTTATTCAGTTTTGGTCAATTGTTCTGTCTTCTCCTTAGTAAATTTAGATACCGTTTCATAAGCATTTGCAATATGCGAAGGACTATCAGCAACAAATTTAATACTCGTTATAACTCCTGCATTCCATTTTGTTGCTAACCAATGTCTAAAATCTGTGACATTTGGTATTGATGAAATCTAAGAAAACATTGTAATCATTTAAACGTACTTATAAATCTAAATTGATTACAATTTTTCAACTCACCTCTTTGGTTATTTCTTTAGGTATATTATCCTTCAAATATGGATCTAAATTTTGATGTATTTTATCATAAACTTTAAGACTATCATCATGTTTTGACCAAATACCTTCTTGTACAGAATAATAAATAATACCACCAACTAAACTAGCTTTAATGGTGAACCTATGATGAAATATAACCTCAATTAGTATTTCAATAAATTTATTTGTAAAAAAAAAAAAAAAATGGTAGCATGCAAATACCATGACAATAATATTTCTTGAATCTTCTTTATTTGTACTAACCGCATTAAACCCATAATATATGTTATAAATTACTTTGTTTTGTCTTTTCAAATGTATGGGTTTACGAAAGAAGGCACCTTCTTCTACCTATCTCAGAAATAAGAAATTACGTAAAGTATGATAAATGTGAAATATCAATTAATATTAATAAAATAACAATAAAATATATATTTTAATATATTTAATATTATTATAAAAGTTTTTCATTAAATTTCATGTATTTATACTTACACTTGAAGTGTCACATTTGTATTACGATAAATGATTAGTACGTCATTGATTCGCGTAGTAGTAGAATACCGTGTGACAAAAAATGGCGCGTAAATTTAAATGTATATTTATAATCTAATCAAAATTCATTATGTAATATTTACAATTTTTTCGTTTTAAATTCATTTATTATTAATGGTATATATTTTTTATATTTATAAGAATAAAATTATATTATATATGTTGCATGTTGCATGTTGCACATTGCATGTTGCATGCTGGGATACTTATACTTTTTTATTTATTGCACTTATCTCGCTTTACTTTTGCTTTTCGCATTAACAAGCTTATCTTAATAGTACTATTAAACTTTAAGTTTTGGTTTTAAGCTTATGGTTGTATATAATAATGAAGTTATCTTAAAAAGCTTTAAAATGTATTGGAGTAATGCACGAATAAAAAAATAAAAGAAACAGCACTCATTTATAAATAAACACAACAATTTGTTTCCTTAAAAAAAAAAAAAAATTCCTACAAAATTTCTATTATTATTATTATTTAAATCTTTATCTATAAAATAAGATTTTGTTAATTAACATGAAGTTATTAGTTTATACGCTAGATGGCAGAATTCGAGAATCGAATTGTTACACATTTAAATTATTCAATAATTTTTATTTTATAAATAACCTATAAATTTAAATATTTTATAAAACCTATCAAAAATTTTAATACAACAAATAATAATGATAAAAATGTTAATAAATATTTAGGATAATAATTATGGTATGTTAATAGATTGGTAACATAATCGATCAAGCACACCTTGGTAACGGTTGAATCCTTCTACGATTATCTATTTTTTCTTATTAAACAAATCGTCAATGGAAGATCAGTAACGTGAATAAGTGTTGCTAAAGGTGTAACTTTCCTTTGTGATAAAAAAAATAAAAAAGCATCCTCTTCCTCCTCCAACTCCAACTCCTCCTCTGAAGTGTGTCGGGTTAGTCATCCGAATAATTTCTGTTCCGAGGACTTGTAATTATATTTTATAATTAAATACGCGTACCCTAACTTTCCCTTTCGTTTATACCCTCACCCTTTCTTTTCATCTTATTCACTTTCTTCGTCTTAAAAAAAAAAGCTCGTTCCTGAACGTAATTGGAATGTCCACATGAGGCTTTTAAGATTTTTACTCCGTTACTTTCCACCAGGTAAACGTAAACTTTAAAAGATGTTTTAAGTATAAACAAAAAGAAAAAAAAAGGTAAAATTACTTCGTTTAACGTTTAATCGTTTTAGTTTATTGAAATTGAACATCTTTTTAAAGTTTAAAAATCATTTACAGGTATAGCCTTGGAATACAGACAAGGTGGCGACGTTAAAACTAAGATGATCGACTTGTTGGATCTGTCCCTTGAGTAATTGAATTTTACACTTTATTGCCACATCCTAGGGGAAAACTAGTTTGTTTTTTTTTTATTTTAAATATACCATTATTTTATACAATTCGTTTAATCATGTAATTGTATAACATTGTGAAGTGAACAAATTCAAGGACGAAAAGTGAATGGTGTTTTTTTTTTTTACAGAAAGATGAAAAGAAAAAAATAGAGTTAGAAGAGTTTGTTTAAATGTCAAATTTGTTTAAGATAATAAATTACATAGGTGTGTTATTATTTTTTACAGAACTGACATAAGAGCACTGGCAGAGAGCATAAAAGCAAGTGAGCCAGTAATAACCGAAAGTGTAATGGACCAATTAGTGGAAACATTGGAGAAATTACAGGCCAAAGTGTGCAACGCAGACGTGAAGCGTTATTATAAACATAAGACCCTTAGAACACATCTTCTACCTTTAACTAACATAGCGTTCGATAAATTAGGTAAAAGGTACTAACTATCGATTAAGGTTGTAATCGATATACCATTCGGTTTTATCATAAAATCAAAACATTAACGTATAACATAGATTAATTCTTAACATTAACAATATGATTAATTATATTTATCTTGTAATCTTGCAAAAATGAAGAATATTATTTTATTTATTATATTATTATATTATGTTTAACATTAAAGGGATCTCTGGCAGGCAGGGGCGTGGCGTAGCAATTTGACCTATCTACTCTAATTTTGAATTAAGCCACCAGATAGCGTATTCAAATGCTAGAGATTCCAATAATTAATCTTACAAATAAATATTATTTTATTTATTATATGATTATTATTATTATATTTTACTATATTATAATATAAAAAAAAAGATGATTTGTTTATTTAAATAGATGCTTGACAGGAAGTTACGACAGAACTTGTAAAGTTTGGGACATTGACACTGGAGAAGAGTTACTTACTCTCGAAGGCCATAAAAACGTTGTCTATGCCGTTTCCTTTAACAACCCGATATCGTAAGTCTTATCTAACATTAAAGTAACAAAATAATGTAATAAAATTGCACTGACCAAGTTGGACGAAAAAATGGCTTGGCAGAGAATGATGTTATACATTTCATTTTCCATATATTTTTTTAGAGACAAAATAGTAACCGGATCTTTTGATAAAACAGCAAACGTTTGGTGTTCAACTACTGGTCATTGTTTGCTTACATTGTGGGGTCACAACGGTGAAGTTGTAGTAGCCAAATTTTCACCGACTCAAAACAAATTGGCTACGGGTTCTTTGGATTCAACTTCAAGAATATTTAATCTTGCTACAGGTAAAAAAAAATGCAATTCTCGTTGCAATGTATGTGATCTCCTCCTCCAGTGTGTGAGAGTATGTTAAAAGAATACAAAAATGTAGAAAAATAAATGTTAAACGTTAAGTTTGAATTGGAAGTTGTTGCTGTTGTTTTTTTTTTTATCACGAAAAATGGGATTTGAATGAAGGATCAATTCGACAGGTCAAGAATTAGGTTTGCTGAAGGGTCACACGGCAGAAATAATTGCCCTTCATTACAACGATGATGGAAATCAAATGATCACGGGTTCATTCGATGGTACAATCAGCGTTTGGGATACCAGAACTTTTACGTTAGTTTCAATTTGATTTCCTCTTTTGTTTATTTCTTTTTCTTATCTTATCTTTAAATTATCTTACATGAAAAAAAAAAAAAGAAAAAATGCATTGATTTGTTAATTATCTAGACGAGTATCCGTATTGATCGGTCATCGTTCGGAATTATCAAATTGTCTTTACAATTTCGATTGTACACTGATAGCATCCTCTTCGATGGATAAAACAGCCAAAATTTGGGACACCAGAAAAACTGCTTGTTGTCTTGCCACGTTATTGGGACACGATGACGAAGTTCTTGATTTGACCTTTGATAACACGGGCAAAAAATTGGCAACAGCTAGTAGCGATACTACAGCAAGAGTTTGGGATACTAATAAGGATTTTAGACAAATTTCGATTATGCAAGGTCATCGAGAAGAAGTTTCGAAAGGTAATATATATATTTTTTAAATTTTGTTTAACCCTTTCTACCTAATTTATAATTCAGGTATTAATTGATTTTCTAAAATATTAAATAAATATATTTAATTTGATTATCAGGCCACGTGTACCACTGGTGATATACGAAACGTGTTGACCTATTTTTCATTTAGAAATTTTCAATAAAAATCCAAATTTTTCTTTCTTTTCTTTCCCAGTTTGTTTCAGTCCAAGCGGTCATCACCTTTTGACCTCTTCATTGGACAAAACTGCACGTTTATGGTCTTTAGAATCCGGATATTGCGTGCAGAAACTCGATGGTCACGTAGACGATGTATTTAGTTGCGCTTTTTCATATACAGGTGATACAATTGTAACAGCTAGCAAAGACAATAGTTGTATTATTTGGAGATGACTCGATTGGTTCAAAGTTTGTCCATAGCTTTTAATCGTTATACTTTTTATTATTTATATCATTTATTTTTACATTATTTAAATACAAATTTTTATTTTAAAAAAATAAATTATTATTGTTCTCACGTTATACACAAAATAGAAAAACACAATTTTGTTAATACAAATTGCAATCTTGTTCAATGATCATTGTGGTATATACATATATATATATATATATATATATATATATATATATATATTTTATTGTTGTTATAAGAATATTATAATTTTAATCTGGAATAGTAGTTGCATTTCCGGTGAAAGTTAAATACGTCAATTATTCAAAGATTCGCTTGAAAACACAAGAAAGTAACCTACCTGTGTTTAGTATACCATATATAAATATATCTATATACATGTTATGTGTTTTATAATTTATTGTCCACACTATATAATATTTAAATAAATATAATATGTTACACAAATTAAATATTTACCAAAAAAACAAAACAAAAAATAGTAGAATAAATATTTTTCATTGTAATACTTAAATATCAATATTATTATATTTATATTATATAAATATAAATATAATTTCTTATTATTATTTCATTGATAATTAATATAATTATATAATATTCAAATATTAATAAATAATTATTTATAATTATTATATATATATAATAATAAAATATATGTAAATTATTGCACGTGACTCAACTATATATTTATTATAAATCGTAATGTTTTTGCTCGACACAATTTTATCTAAAAAAAAAAAAAAAAAAAA